ATGTGTGCGCATATTAATGCCGCTCCTCACACACATTCCCACATCTCCTTTTATGGCGCGTGTCAGCCAGAGTGCCATCTACACACTCCATATATGTGTGTGTGTGTGCGCGCGTGTGTCTGGCTCCTGATTGCGCATGCTTGCCCCCGCGTGGGTGGCATGTTTGTTTTCGTCTGCCTTTCTCACACACGCACGCGCACACGCACACACCTATCTTATGCACCAAAGTCATGTTTATATTCCTTTGAATGGACAAACAAAGCGTCATATTCGTCTGTTATGGGCTTTACATGTATCTAAAAGGGGGGGGGGGCCTGCGGACTTCACTACCCTCCTCCCCAATCCCCAATCGCCTGTGTTTTTTTAACATTTTTTTTTTAAATGCAAAAAGTGAGGATGAAGAGGGTCTCTGTCTGTCCTCTTCCCCCCGCCATGGCCGTTGCCCAATCGGAAGCGCGATATTGACCAGACTGTTGAACCGAGCGAATTCTAATCATGCCAGACTTGAAGGAAGGGGGGAGAGGAGGGGAGGGAGAAAAAAAAGAGGAGGAGGGATGTGTGTTAAACAATCTCGCAGGACAGTCGAAGAGGCACTGCGGCAGTCACAATCCAGACAAAAGAGAGGCGAAGAGGAAGCGTCTCCAATGTAAACGCCTGCACTGCATGTTTGTTGACGTCACCTCTGCAGTCTTCTTTTGTTTTTGTTTTTCCTCCCAAAATGGACGGGCCGAGGGTCGGACAAACGACAGAAAAACTTGGGCCAGCGCGAATGTTGGAATTGCACTAAAAAAAAGCCCAACGCAAGGGCGCCTCTCGTTTCATTTTGAAGCACTGCAAATCTGTTGCCGTCGACGACCAAGTGGGCCAAACTTGCGGAATCTTCCTCCAGCCATCCATTGGTGTGCTGCGGCCTATCCCTGCTGTCTTATTCTTGCCGATTTGGTAGCACACGTGTCAGGATCAGCATCCTGACACCTCCCGTCAAAAGTGAGCCAAAAAATGGCAAAACGGAAGTCTTCGGGAACCAATATGGCAGCGTAAGGTGATGATTATGCAACCGGGGTTTTTTTTTTTTTTTTAAGCGGGATCTCACGAAACTGGAAACATTTCACAAAGCGAATTTTGGACTGCTGTACATGCAATGCGGTTTTTAAAAAATGTCGTGAGAAACCGCCGCCAGCGAAATTGAACTGTGATGTCCATGCATCTCATTATCTGAATGTGTGAACCCACAGCGGTTGCAGGAAAGGCGTCGGCGAAACCAATACCGGCTCATTACGCCTCTGTCTTGACATGCTGTAGAATCCTGGCAGGCGGGGGGGAATTAAAAAAGTTGGCTGTCGCATAAACGTCCCCTCGAGATTCGTCTCATTCGTTATTTCACAAGGATGACTCGCAAGCCAAATACATCTGGATGGAAAACTTTTGGGACGTTTGAATTCCGAAGAGCTTTGTTTGTAAACATTTCATGACAAGTTTGTTTGTTTGTTTTTGAGCTTGTTGTTGTTCAGAGGCGAGATCCTACTAAGAATTAACACGTGCACGACGTAGTCGCCCAGACTGGCTTTAGTTGTATCATAGTTTAGAGAAAGAGAATCACATATTTTTGCATCGTTGTATGATCGGGGGCAGGGGGCTTATTTTTATTTTTCGAGCTTTTGCTACGATTGCGGTGCTAAGAATGCGGACGTTTGCCACAAATGATACACCGCGAGGCATCTGAATGTTTTTAAAAATGACACCCTTCTCATATCTTGACATGTTGTTTTTTTTCTACCCAGTTCGTAGTGTTCGGAGACTTTTTTTTTTCATTAATGATGTACGACAACAATATCATCTGATGTTTTTTTGCGGGGGGGTTGCGGCCATTGGGATGCTCGGAGAATAGTCGGAATTTTACCATCGCAACTTTTTTTGGGGGATATATTTATTTTTGGTTGCAAATTTTATGAGGATGCAAAATTGAGATTTTAAAGCTTTTTTTTCCCCCTTTCCAATTTTGACTTTTAATTTTGTAAAATGCAGCCATTGAGATGCAAGGAGAATAGTCGGAATTTCACCATCAACTTTTTTTTTTCCTTGAATGACTTCTTGCCGATTTGATCCAAAAGATTTTTCCTCTTCATATGACTTGTAATGTCCTCTTGCAAAATGCTGCTGTTTGTCTCGCAAAATACTTCATTCTTGTAAATAACAACGTATTGAATGGAACATCTCCCCCACCCGCCCCCAAGCTTTTTTTCATTGAAATGGAAATTTTCCTCTTTGTCAAAAAAATTCACAAAATTGAAAACTTCAATGATTCAAACGCATTAGAATTGTTCTTCTCATGACTCCACAATATTCGGACTTTCTCATAAAATACTGACTTTTTTTTTAATCAGTATTACTTCGTAAAAAACAAATCTCTTCATAACTTTTACAAATTTACAGATTGTCATTGAAATTTGGATTTGTCTCATTTTGACTAGTGTTTGTCATCATGGCACGGTATTGTGAAATATGACTTTATTGGAAATACCACAAGAATATTGTCGACACTTGACAAAGTGTTTTTTGTCTTTTATTCTTCGGAAATTAACAGAAAATTTTCCAACTTTATTCTTACAGAATTCACGAAATATTGTGACTTCATTCTGGTAATTTCACAACTTGAGTTTCATCAAGATGTGACCGGATTCGAATGCTATGCGAATCGCCGCCGTTTTGACAAAAATGGTAAAAGTTTCCTAAGACTTGATTAAAAAAAAAAAAGTTTTGTATCCGTACAAGAATTGTCAGAATCATATGATTTTTATTAGTTTTTTCAATGCAATTTTCTCACAAACTTGTTTAGCCCCGTCAAAGATGACTTCATCGCTAGACAAGAAGTCGTAAAATTTTGGAAAGCTGCGAGGCAACTGAATGTTTTTAAAGCCGACAAAAACTAACAAAACGAAAGCAATCAATGAATCAATCCAAAGTGACTTTACTTGAAAGCGGCGCTGCCACCTGAATGTTTTTCCTCGCCGCAATCGGAGTGCGACTTCCCCCCTAGCCATGATTGTCTTTTTTTTTCCTAGAAAAATAAAAATAACACAACAAAAAAAAGTCTCGATCACTGTAATGATGTGCGCACCTTAAAAGCCCAGTGCGAATGCTAACGCGATTGCAATCTGACAAACTCCCAAACGGAGACCAAATCTGAAATTCCCTGCCTGTGTGTCTTCGGCTATCCACAGGGAGGCGCCAAAGTGACGAACGCGAGCACGGTTTGGAGTCTTTTTCATTTGTATTACTTTGAAGGAAGCGCCTTTGGGTGAGCCCGAGATGGCGCTTCAAGCCCTTTGCACCTTTCTGAGCATGCTCACTTTGTCACTTCCTGCTTGGAGGGGGTCACGGGACAAGTGGGTGGCGGCGTTTTTTTTTTTTTTTTTGTTTTGTTTTTTGTACATTTTCATTCTTTCTTTTTATGCATTGTGTCCTCTTTTATGACATTTTTTGAAGTGTAAAATGGTCACTTGAGAGTCATTTAGACTGAACAACAAAATCAGATGGAATTTGTTTTCCGCCCCAATTTGTTTTCCCACTGTTCGAAAAAAGCTTTGGTTGTAAGTGGGTGGGGGTGTCCAAATGGCCTGTTTGAAGTTTTGAGATGTGAATGTCAAAGGAAAAATCTACCCCGCAAACAATCCAGACTTTGCGTAACCGATCAGCTTTTGGTCCTTTGATCTTTCAATGGTGAAAATTGGGATTTTGTAAAATGAAGGTTTTCATTCTACTTGGCAGGATTTTCTTTGAAAATCTTTGCTTTTTCCTGATTTAGTTTTCCAGTCGGAGAGGTGATTACAATTTTTTTTTCTTTTCTTTTTTTTTTTTTTTTGTTGATTTGTTTTTTTAACTATCTCAAAGGATCACCATCTACAAAAGGATTTCCAATTAGGTCCGAAAAATTCCGCAAATTTCTTTCTGAATCTTTGTCAAAGATTTGTTAAAATTCTTCCGGTATTGTGACTTTCTTTTGAAATTGAAGTAGATGGAAAGATTGAGGCTGAAATTTTGCACAAAAAAAGTGTATCTTTGTGACACGATCACTAATCTTTCAAAT